GCATCTCCATTAATTGTGACCAAACATCATAATTTGATTCAGTTAAAATTATACCTACATACGGTTTCATATTGACCTGTAGTCGACTATCCAATATTCCTTTCACCCATTTTGAACAACAGCAAGGACCGGACCATAACGTGGAAAAAACAGCCTGCTCAATAACGTAGAAAAGCAACTTACTCAATATAGGAGATGAATTAACTGGACAACTTCATGTGCCAGCAGGAGATGAATGACAGTATTTAGATTGGTATGATCTCCAATTTGTTCACGTTTGCAGAACTTTGATAGAAGAATATTGCGGATTGTGGACAAAAATCTTTTAACCTTTCCAATGTTCCAATACGTTTGTAGAAGCTTTGGCGGATCCGTGGAGAATTCTCTCTCTCTCCTCCCTTTTTTCTTACTTTTTCAATGTTTCAATCTGCAGCTTGAATTTATTTCCATGGTTCAATAACAGGCGACTCTGATACCATATTGTGAATGGTATTTCAATTCTATTTTTCATTGAAAAACTGAAAATTACAATTTATAGAGTAAACTTAATAAATTAGGAAATAATTATACCAAAAATAAGGAAAATAATAATCCTTAATTTAAGGGATTATCCTTAAATTATAGGATTTTTGCCACGGTACAATCTCCACAAAATCTCAACAGTTATTTCATTTTTGTTTTTTTTCTGTCTGGTTCCTTCCATCTGCGAATCCCTATAATTATAAAGCTACTAATTTCCAAAATGTTATTAAGAGTCATAAATAATGCACATTTTCTTTTGATCTACTGTTCTGTGAGTCTCCTGCGGAGGTTCTAGTCCAGGAGAGTGAGATAAGAGAAATGGCTAAGGAATATATTTGGAAAGGAGATCAGAGAAATAGTTAAGGAATATATTTGGTTAACCTTTCGGGCAGACAAAAAATGAAGTAGAAAAGAACATGATATGGTTTTGGAATGCTTGTTTTAACATCAAGTTTGGTCAAGTATTAGCTATTTTCGCTACTATATGAATGATGGAATTTGTTTTAAGGTTTTCCTTTCTTACATTGTGTTTAATGTGTTTAATATTTGGACTTCTTAAAATTTGAAGTTCTCAACCACAAAGTCATACCCAACTCAACATTTTCATCTTATTTTTCAATTCTGAATAAGAGGTCTCTACTTTCATCCATTTATATTGAATTGATTTACCAGTCTGTTTTCCGCAGTATCGTGTCCAAATAATTTTCCTTCTGTTATATGCTGATCTGTTTTCATTATAAACCTGTTTCTTTATTTGGTCAATTTATCTGTTTATCACATTCTTATTCCTCAAATACCTCTAATTATCAGGGACTGGTGAAGAAATATTCTGAATTCATCAATTTCCCTATATACGTCTGAGCTAGCAAAGGAGTGGATGAGGAGGTTCCTGCTGATGAAGAAGATCCCAGTGATGAAGAGGACATAGGTATGCATGATTTCTGCAGAAATCTTCATACTTGATTTGTCATAGTTGTTGCTTTTCTGATACTGCTCGTCTGATATTTGAATGAAGTATCAATGTTGAAATGTTTGCTAGTTCATGGTATTTTTCTCACCTTAGATCACAATGAGGTAAACAGATGAAACTAAATCCAATGAGGAAGGGGAGGAAGAAGAGGATGAGAGAAAACCCAAGACAAAGACAGTTAAAAAAAACTACTTACGAGTGGGAACTTTTGAATGATGTGAGAGCTATATGGCTACGAAATCCAAACGAGGTGACAGAAGAAGAATAGACGAAATTCTGCGGCTCCCTGGCCAAGGTTTTTTCCATATCATGTTTGGCAGGATTCACTTAAATGCTGTGGTCTTATTGTTATCTTGTTAGAACACTGATATTATTTGATGAAATTGTCTTATTTCTGTTGACAGGATTTCAGTGATGAGAAGCCCCTAGGATGGAGTCACTTCACTGCAGAAGGGGACGTTGAATTCAAAGCCGTACTGTTTTTACCACCTAAGGCTCCTCACGATTTGTACGAGAGTAACTACAACCCAAACAAATCCAACTTAAAATTATATGTCAGAAGGGTTTTTATCTCGGATGCATTTGATGAGCTTCTTCCCAAGTATCTGAACTTCCTGTGGGTACAATCTATTGTGCAGATATGGTGCCCAAGACTTGATTCTTACTGTGACCTATGGAATCAGGGACTTGTCGATTATGACACCTTGCCACTTAATGTATCTGGAGAAATGTTACAACAAAACAGTAGCTTGAAAACAATCAAGAAGAAACTCATCCGCAAGGCCCTTGATATGATCTGCAAACTTGATGAAGAGGACCCAGATGAATCTAATGATAAAGACAAGAAAGGTTTGGCAAGAATAAATAAACATATGGAAAAGAGAAGTTTGATGTCTTTATATCTGTGGTATTTGTAGACTGTGGCAACTGGCAACCGAATTACCGTTTGTTACTGGTTCCTGATTTAGTTATGAAACTTAATGATGCTGCAGATAATGAAGAATCCAGTGATAGCAATGAGAACAAAGGTCAATACACAAAGTTTTGGAACGAATTTGGCAAATCAATTAAACTTGGTATTATTGAGGATGCAACTAACAGAAATCGTCTGGCCAAACTTCTATGATTTGAGTCGTAAGATGTCTTTTTTAAACATAATTTGTTACAGCTCCAAAATAAATTGTCTTGAAAGACTAAGATATTATGCTATCCTCTTGGCAGAACAAAGTCAGATGGTAAATTGACTACACTGGATCAGTACATCTCAAGAATGAAGTCAGGACAGAAGGATGTCTTCTACATAACCGGAGCTAGCAAAGATCAACTGGAGAAAAATCTCCGTTTCTTGAAAGACTGACAAAGAAGAATTACGAGGTATGAATTCATATATTAGCACTCTACTTAAAACAAGGGTTGCGACTTGCGATTCTTAAAGCGTTTTCTTTTGCTATTTCATAAAACTGACTTTATACCGTCCTTCCAGCTTATTCTTTTTACAGATCTTGTGGATGAATATCTAATGCAATATCTGATGGATTATGAAGACAAGAAATTCCAGAATGTGTCCAAGGACTGAAAATCGAGAAGGATTCAAAAGACAAGGAACTGAAGGAATCATTCAAGGAGTTGACGAAATGGTGGAAGGGTGCTCTTGCCAGTGAGAATATCGACCATGTAAAGATAAGCAACCGACTAGCTGACACCCAATGTGTAGTTGTAACTTCAAAATATGATTGGAGTGCACACATGGAGAGAATAATGCAGCCACAAACTATATCAGATGCGAGCAAGCAAGCATATAAGCGTGGCAAGAGGTTGCTCGAAATTAACCGAGCTCATCAAGCAGCTTGGTGAGCTACTAGTAAAAGACCACGAGGTAAATAATTAACATTTTTACTTGAAAGTAAGAAAAATGTAAATATATCTAAACATGTTTTGAAACAAAAATTTATTTAGAAGTAGATTTTATACTTCTATTAAGCTTAGGCAAAGATGCTTGATAGTCATTTTGCAATTTTGTGCAGGATGAAAGTGTAAAGCAAACTGCCTAGCTCATGTATCAAACACTATTGATTGAGAGTGGCTTCATGCTCAACGATCCGAAGGATTTCCCTTCCCGAACCTACAGCTCTGTGAAGACGAGTCTCAACATAAGCCTAGACGTAACTGTTGAGGAGTAAGATGACGTAGAAGAACCCCAGACTGAATCCGGGACTAAAGAGGCAGAATCTTCTTCGAACTCTGAAGATCGTCCTAAAGATTAGATGATGATGTTAACGACGAATTGCAGATCGATGATCTTAGAGTCTATTTACATCGCACAAAATGCTTAAAATGTTGCCTCGCCGATTAGTAGAGGTACTTGTCGTGAGGATGCCTAGGCGAGATTTTTTTGTACATCTACTGTAAGTTTAACAAACAAGAATTTTGTTTCTTTGCTATTTGTTTATGCGAAATATCGTGAATTAATGCTATTTATTATCACCGATAAATTTCTAAATGACAATAAAGCAAATTTCATATTTGCAAATATAATTGATTTTATCGTTTCACCTCACATCACACAGATGATCCAGCTGGAGACAAATACAAGAATTTCATGGATGAATATTTGAGAAATGGAACTTCCAATATTTAGGAGATTTCAAGTTAAAGGATTTAACTTCTGCATTCTCATTAACCTAATATATAGCCACAGTACCTCTATCAATCAAAATTAAATTCACAGTACAAACTGATGCTTGTAAAAATAATGAAAGTTTGGTTTCTGGATGAGCAATAAGCAACTAAAGTGTCCATATTCAAACTCAAGTTAAAAATACCAAAGTCCAAACCGAACCAAACCGCCTTGAAACAATTTGATATGATTCTAAATCGTTTAATTGACGGATTCACGTCACAACAAATCGTTGATTTCAAAAAGGGGGTTTTTTCTTTTGGTTTGAAAGTTTTTGTTTACCGTTTAATTCTCATGAATTTATCTCTGAAAGTAGGTGTGCAAAGGTTTCCGCGGGCCGGACGGAGATTGGCCCTTGAGTGCAAAGGTAGAAGGGAGCTTGATTACAAGACCCACCCGTCAAGCAGGGACGAAAGTCGGCCTTTGTGATCCGACGGAGTCGAGTGGAAAGGCCGTCGTTCAACGGATAAAAGTTACTATGAGGATAATAGGCTCATCTTTCTCAAAAGCTCACATTGATGGGAAGGGTTGGCAACATAGAAAGAATTAAAGATATAAATAATAGAGTTTAAGTTTCTCTATCACTTATTTACAAAAATTGTCAAGTGACAAACCTTTGATCAAATATATAAATAATGGAGAAGTCGTAAAGACAGATTTTTATCTGAATGAAACAGAGACATAATGTGATTGATATCAACAAAATGATTACTAACATGAAATTATTGTCTCGACCAAAGAAAGATGATCAAAAGATTATGAAAATGAACACAAAATTTTTAAGTTACTTATTTTGTCTAATAACATTTCAAAATTATTCTTTTTTTACTAACAAATTTAGCATTTTTTTTCCTTTTTTCGAAAGCAAATCTTAACTTACATATGAAAAAATATCTTTTGATTTAGTTTACCTCGTACGTGAGGGACAGAACGTGATTTCATAATTTGCCCCACTACACATAAATGTACCCGTAGCATCATCGTATGCATAGCTATACGATCTCGGACATGCAGTTTTGAAAATCTCAGAATAAGTTGATGGCCGACAGGTAGTGGGTGAACCATACGCGCCGCTGCAACAGTATTCTGGATTCCCAAACGCTTCACATGCACTCTTGCATGCATGCCCGTCACCGGCCCGCAACTCATTCGGGCACATCCGGTTCAAATCAGTTATGCACCCGGTTGAACCGCAGGCGCCCGACCCTCCTTTCGGCTGGACTATCATTGGCAAGTTGTATCCGTCAACAAGGCTAACATCGTAGAAATCCTGGGCACCCGAATTCGTACCCGACCCTATCGTGAATTCGGCTAAGGTAGCCGGAGGCGCTGCGCCGGCTCCATTGCATTCCACCTGATTGGAGCCGCAATCACCGGTAGCGCAACTTCCTTGGCCGGTGTTCGGGTCAAATGTGCAATGGGTTCTGCCCCAAAACCTCCCCGACCAGCCCGGCAGAGCTTGTTTAAAGTCTTATTCATTTTTCGGCCATACCATTTTATTGAGGTATTCCCGGAATGGTTTTCTTCATTTTGATTTCATTGTCAGCACAATACTTTTTAAAATCATCATCTATATACTCTTTTCCATTATCTGACTACAAATATGTCTTATTTTCAACCATCGCTTTCCATTCTTGACGGCATTAAAGAATTAGATTTATTCTTCTAGAAATGAATGCTTACCATCCTGCTTGAGTAATCAAAGTTTGTTACATAATAATTGGAGCCTCTAAGGAATGTAACAATTGAACGTTCAAATTCATTTGTACGAATCAACCCTAATTTTGAAACTTTTGGCTCCTTTCTGATTTTAGAAAAACTAAGCATTTTCTATTTGTCGAAAATACATCCATCACATAAATGTGTTCAACATGGTTCAGTCTCGATAGCTTCCATTTATACCCGAAACACTTTCGTTCACTTCCCACTCATGTATCTCAGCCTACAGTGCCACAAATCAGAACTAACAGCTGAATCAGAAACTAGATCCTTATATCTACAATTGAAAGTTATGTAAAGAGTTCCAGATTTATTTCGTCGAGAAAAAAAAAATCATGACTCCCTCAGTGACTTTTCAAGCACCAACACCGAAAATCATATTATTACCTTCATCATCAAGTTGCCCACTGAGATCAGATTACACATCAATTTAGGTACATGTTTCACCTTATGAATTTTCCATACAAACTCATTTTCATCTGCCAATTGACATTACTTTCACCACCAATATCTTTATGTTCTCTATCAGCAAGATATACCTTTTCATAATTCCTAGCAATAGGGTTATCTATACTCTCATGATAACAGTGGTGCAAAAAGACACTCCTAAATTCATCATCCAAGAATCAATAGGACTGTAAACCGACAATAATAGAGCATTTTGTACCCTTTAGTCACCATATTAGCATTTTCGTTCTTCGTTTTTCTTTGGTACCCTGGAATTCTTCCTCGTATGGCTAATCTTGCCATTGTTTAGCATTTCACATTCTTTTAGGACATGGTCTTGCTTATACTATTTCTCCACTTCACGTCGTTGCCTTTATTAGTATTTTTCTTGAAACACCTACCTCTGTTCTCAACTTTTAGACTAGAATTCGATGTCGAGACTTTTCTAGTATCTTTTCTATTGACTTCCACTACAGTAGTATCGCAAACATCACTAAATTTCAGTTTTGCATTGCCTATAGAGTTACTGACCCCAGCTACATAGGTTCCCAAGTATTCGGCAGTGATCCCATTAAGATTAGAATGCATACCTCATATCATCAAATTTAATCTCAACTAAGACCAACTAGTTGATGATGTATTCAATTTATTGAAATATTCTAGTGCACATTAGCCATCTTCAAACTACATAATTTTTTTTTTTTGGTCGGCAAATATAAACTTTATAGATCAAAACTTCATGTACAAGTATATCGAGCATACCCGGGCAAAACAAACATCAAGAGTCAATTACAAATATACCGGCCATACCCGGGTAGTAAAAAGAAATGGGAAATGGTGTACAGACTATAATAGCTAAGAGGCCAAAGCTAATGATTCATAATGAATTAAAACATATAGATACAAACTGAACATAACATTGTATGCGTGCATTTTAATCCGACTTACAACACAATCAACGTGTGGCACAAGATCTTCAAAAATATTCTTGTTCCTAGCCATCCAAATGTTGTAAACGGAAGTAGCAAGTGCAATTTTCTTAACTTTGCTTTGCCAAGTCGTGCTTCCTATCTCATCCATTTCTCTGCACTCGGCAAGGTGGACATTGTACGTGTGACGGCCAACCACCTGCGAATCTCTCCCCAAATAGAACTAAATTATTTTTCATCATATGCAACTTGTTATAGGTAGATGGCTTCTCATACATATTGGACAATACCTTCATCAAATCTACCATGATTTTTTCCTCCGTCATGCTTTGACCTACGTTCTTAGACAATGTCAATCAAATAATATTTAAAATTTGACGATCAATGAGTTTTCATTCATCATCCTTCATTTTCTTTTCATTCAAAAGAGGATGGTACATTTTTTTACTGTACAGATAATTCTAAATCCACATCGTCCATAACGCAAAACTCATACCATCAAACTTGTAGATTCCCAGTGACGTTCCTTCTTCACCAATCATTCCTTCAATCAAACCAAAAGTTCTTATACCAATTGTTGAAGATTAGAAATATTAATTTTATTCCACCAAGATCAATGAATTCGCAGAAGGAAAAATAAACATTCAAGAACGTGCAAGATTTATAGAACTTAAGAAGATTTATTTTCAAAACGAACAAAACTAAAACTAAAACTTAAAGCCAATTGAATTTAAAACTTAACCCATTAACCCAAATCCATCTAAATCAGAGACATAAAGTCCCTCTATCACGTTTCTATCTTTCATCCCTCTATCACGTTTCTATCTCTCATCTACACTATTGAGTCTCCTTTACCTCTTCTGGCAAAGACTGGAGGAGGATCAAAAGGGAAGCTTATTAAAGGTGGTCAATTTGTAATTTTTTAACTTGTTCAGTATTCCTCTCTTATATTCTAAATGTTTTCCCTCTTAATTTGAAACACTAGATTTTAAACCTCTGACCTTATTACATTTTATGGTGTACATTTTCGTATACATTCCATTGTATTTCAAAAAGTGTTGGATGGAAAAGTGTGTGTGTTTTTTTAACTGTCCAATCATGTATTGTCACGTAGCACAATGTCAAAAATGATGTAAATAATAATGTACATGTAGCATTTTTGTTTCTATAGAATTATGCTAAGTGTACATTATATGGTGTACATTTTTGTGTACATTCCGTTGTATTTCAAAAAGTGTTGGGTGGAAAAATGTGTGTGTTTTTTTAACTGTCAAATCATGTATTGTCACGTAGTACAATGTCAAAAATGATGTAAATAATAATGTACATGTAGCATTATTGTTTTCTATATCTAATAAATTTCTTGAATTGGAACATTAATTTGTCTATTTTAGAAGTACTTATTTGATTTGATGTAATATTTGATTTTGAAGGGGTTGAGATTTAAGAATAGATAGTTATGACAACGATTCTTTATTTTATTTTTGTTGGATGAATATATAGATTTCGAAAAAATAATGAAATCAGCGGACAACCAATGAATATTTCAATACATATAAATAGTCTCATCTATATAATTTTCTTTTTTTTTTATTTTATTTTATTTTTTTTAATTGAGGCCCAATTTTTTGGAATTTTCTTGTACTTCAAATGTTCAAATTTTCTTTCTCCTCCAGGACCATCTGTCTATTTTGTATTTTTCTTTTTGAATATTAACACGTTTTATAGTCTTGCCTTAATTTGAATTATAAAGAGAATGAAAATGACTTGTAAACATTATTATGACCGTTTCTCATTGGTTGCCCACTTGTTATTTTATTGTCCGCAAAATAGTGAATGTTGTTGCCATGTTACCAAAATTCGTCTCTGTGCCGTAAATTTTTAGATATGCTTCCGCTTCAATTCTTGTTGATCCTCTGAGCTATTTGTTAGTGTATCCTATAAGTAATCTCAAAGTCGAGAGGGTACAAATATTACTTTATGACAGTGTTTATAACATGATCGGTCTTTAATTTCCAAATTTATTCTCTCCTTTGTGGTTTCATTTTGATTCCTATATTCTCCATTTCATGCGTTACTGTTTAATTTATATTTGTATGAATTTTCAGATTCTGCCTCTCGTAATTTCCAACAATAATGAAACAATCAGAAACTTTCCAACATGTCTTTCTTACCAAGAATAATGAATATTGCCATTCCTGCATTCATTTGTACTTACTAGTACTTTGATAAATCATTTTCACTAATATCAACAATAGTGAGTCAAGATTTTACATTAACACATTGAGCATAAATCAAAAGAAAATTAATTAAAATAGTTTGAATATATATTACATAAAATTAAATAAACTTTTGTTCATGAGAATGACATAATCCCGTTAACACATTAAGAAAGACGCGTGTGGATCAATTTAACATGAAGTATTTTTCGAGCCTCGAATATATATTATTATCTAAACAATAGAGGGTCCACATGTAAGACAATATGATCCCATAATATATATTTTGTAGCAAAGATCATACAATTGACAATCTTTGTTAAGGAGCACCCACCAATCATAATGGACAAATTCATTGCAAAGCAAAACAAAATTTGAAATAATTTAGGTTTCTATACAAACGTCTTGGAAAATTGTGCTTTACAATATGTATTTACATTGGCCTTGCTAGCAATGTGACTATGACGTGAATGTGAAGTGTAAAGTGTTTGTGAATTATATGTAAAGAAAAAGGAGTATGAAAAAGGTTACAAAAAGAGTAAAATGCAAGGCAAAATTTGGCATGGTTCTTGAAGAATCTCCTGTGACAAAATTTGGCAGCCATGATGAGAGGTTGCTGCCGATGGTTGTTCCGGTGGCGGTTTCCGGCGAGGAAGGGTCTCTTGAAGATTTTAGACTGCAGGAAAAGTTTCAAAAAAGTACATCATTTATGTATGATAGCAACCTAATGTCAATTTTGCTATTCGCCATTTACAAATATAATAGAAGGAGAAAGTAAGAGTGAAACTACGAGGCAAGGACGAAATCAATTCCTTTTTGTTTCCTATGCTTTACTAGTAGGACAAATGAACAACCCTTTGCTCTATGAAGTTCCAAATTTAGCCATGTATGATTAGTTGTTCAAAATTTATTGGGTACCACAGCTTGTTAAGCACACATTTCATTTATTTCTATCAAAATCTATTAAAAATATGATTTTTATCTGAATGAAACAGAGACATAATGTGATTGATATCAACAAAATGATTACTAACATGAAATTATTGTCTCGACCAAAGAAAGATGATCAAAAGATTATGAAAATGAACACAAAATTTTTAAGTTACTTATTTTGTCTAATAACATTTCAAAATTATTCTTTTTTTACTAACAAATTTAGCATTTTTTTTCCTTTTTTCGAAAGCAAATCTTAACTTACATATGAAAAAATATCTTTTGATTTAGTTTACCTCGTACGTGAGGGACAGAACGTGATTTCATAATTTGCCCCACTACACATAAATGTACCCGTAGCATCATCGTATGCATAGCTATACGATCTCGGACATGCAGTTTTGAAAATCTCAGAATAAGTTGATGGCCGACAGGTAGTGGGTGAACCATACGCGCCGCTGCAACAGTATTCTGGATTCCCAAACGCTTCACATGCACTCTTGCATGCATGCCCGTCACCGGCCCGCAACTCATTCGGGCACATCCGGTTCAAATCAGTTATGCACCCGGTTGAACCGCAGGCGCCCGACCCTCCTTTCGGCTGGACTATCATTGGCAAGTTGTATCCGTCAACAAGGCTAACATCGTAGAAATCCTGGGCACCCGAATTCGTACCCGACCCTATCGTGAATTCGGCTAAGGTAGCCGGCGGCGCTGCGCCGGCTCCATTGCATTCCACCTGATTGGAGCCGCAATCACCGGTAGCGCAACTTCCTTGGCCGGTGTTCGGGTCAAATGTGCAATGGGTTCTGCCCCAAAACCTCCCCGACCAGCCCGGCAGAGCTTGGAACGTCCGGGTCCCGCCGGACGGAAGTTCGAATCCGGTACTGTCCAATTTACTACTACCAGCATTTGCCAATATTCCGGGCCATACTGTATAATCACATCGATTCGTCAATGTAAACGTAGCCCCTAAAGAACCTGAAAATGAAATCCCGTAAATCAAAATGGCAGAAAATGGAAATTAAATCGAAGATTATTAACAGTAATACCTTTGCCGAAGATCAGTAGAAAAACGAGGGTAATATAATCGAAATGAGAAGAAAATTTTGAGGACATTTGGAGAAGATTACTGATTTGTGAAGAGATGATCAAAATTTCAAATTTTGTTCTGTGAAGAAATGATGCAGTTTATGGGATGAAATCGAGAGAAAGTAGTGAGAAAGAATTCTTTTTACGCGGAATGAACTTACTATATATAGACAACAAGGGTCTCACCTATACATTGAATCACTTCAAGATGAAGCTATCTATGCTTCATTGTTTTTAATTGTAAAATGCTTTATTACTTTTCATATATTATACTTATTTTTTGTACTATTTTTGTTATGATATATGTTTTTGTACTATATGGGCCTCTCTTGCACCAAAATGGAAAAAGAAAAAACGAGACAAATGTCAATAAAATGAAAGGATAGTCGTTTTCAATAATTTATTAAAAATAAAATTTGAAGAAATATATTTTTTATTGAGTATTTTTAACTTTTAGATAAGATAAATCTTTTGTCGCTCACAAAAGGTATCAAAGCATGCACTAAACATAATATATTAAGAATGTGTAAAACTTTTTCTTAATATAATTTCAATGGTCGAAGATATACTTTAAATAAATATATATGTTTCGTCATAGTAATTTACATAGTTTTTCAGGTTAACATCGCATGTTCTGTGAACTAGTTCTACGATTTAATGGAGCAACTAAGCTACAATTAAAGTTGACAACCAATTGGATTTTGGGTAGCTCCAAATTTATCTCATCATCAAGGAGAGAGACAATCCAACAAGTTGTGGACTTTCATTTTTTTCAAAATATTTAGAGATTTTCAT